GGTAACCCAGAGGGTTTTTCCAAATATTTATTTCCAGATAGCAAACATATCTGAAAATAAATAGTAAATATTTATGAAGGTTTATCTTCTACCAGTAATTGGCCACCAGCTGGAAGTGTTCATGCAATATTTATTTTGTTTATATGTATCCATATATTTATGGACATACATGCTTATGCACACACATGCTTATGTATGCGGATATGCATGCATGTGCATGCACACATGTAGATACAGAGTCATATTTCGGTTTAAAGATGGAAACTACTAACACCGAAGTGTGTGTGTGTGTATATATATATATATATAAAATTGTTTATGGGAAGAGTATATTACTAAGCAACTTAAAAAGTATTGCATAGATCTAGGTAAAATTGGGAGCAGATGCTTAAGGATAGTTTTGGGTTTTTTGTTTTGTTTTGTTGCCACTGGTGAGCAATTCAATGTAAATGGGTGACCTGATGTGGTGTGAAGACATTGCCGTAGCACTGGATTCCTGAGTATGGAATTTCTACACGCTTGTGTAGCAATGCTATTCACACTGCTGTATTTTGCTTAAAGCAATGTTTCCTGCTTGATGTTGATGAACATGCTAAATGATCTGAGGCACTATTTCTGTCAGAGAGGTAAGGAGAGATGTTGTATGAGCCTCTGGTTCCGTGTGAAGCATTCTGTACACTGGTCCCTGGTGCTGCACACTAGCTCTACTAAATAGGTTGTGTTACTTCCACTTCATTTATGTATTTATTTTGTGGGGTTTTTTTGAGATATAATCTCACTATGTAGTCCAGGGTGGCCTGGAACTAATTTTGCAGCCTAGGCTGGGCTCAAATTCACTGTGATCTTCCTGGCTCAGTCTCTTAAGTGCTGGGATTATAGGCATGCTCCACCATCCCTGGCCATTATGTCCATTTTAAAGTGAAAAAATAGACTAAAAATTGTTAAGTATTTTATTCACTTCTGTATCAATTGAGTCCATACTCAGGGTTTGAGAGAGAGAGAGAGAGAGAGAGAGAGAGAGAGAGAGAGAGAGAGAGAGAGGTGTACCATTAAGGAGCCATTGTATAAAATGAAGTCCCCCTCATAGGTTTCATAGAGACTTGTTTTTACTGGTGCCCAATTCCCTAAGCTTTTCTGACTACAACTTGTTACCCCCACCCCACGCTCAAAAGAAAATTAAATAAATCTGTTAGATTTTTTATTTTAGTTAATTTTAGATCAATAGGTTTTAAATTCCCATCTACCTTTTCACCTGTAATCAGAGTCAGCTGAGCAAAACTGATACAAATACAGACAGGAAAAGTCTTCAATTCATCTGACTCCGAAAATTAATAGCATCTTAGCTGAGTAAAACTATGTGTCTAAGGGTTCTTACATTCAAAGGTGCCAAAAGAATATACAACTCAGTAACATTTCACAAAAGGATATTTTAAGATCATTGTTCCATTTCAGAAATAATTTATAAGCAATATTTAGTTGTACTTGATTGCAATGAAAAAAAATCAGCTTAAAACTATACTGAAGATACAGAAACTATGAATTGAAAGTGACTAAGATAATTACATCGGATTCAGATAGTCTATCTCTTAACGAGAAGCATGAAGCAAAGCACAGAAATGATTAGAACTGTATTTTAATAAAAAATGAAACTCCTAAAGTAGATATCCAGTCTTATAGGTGTAGAAATAATGAGCAAAGCGTGCTCCATAAATGATAATATTGTCTATGTCTGTAGAAATTAACAAGATATATGAAAATTTTACATACATTGTTTTTTGTACATGATAATTCAATGAGGTTAGCAGAAATGATATATCATCAATATACACATGGCAATGAGATGATTCAATATCGGGAACTTATGAAAGTTATACAGCCTATGTCAGAATTTCCTAAGTAATGGTCATTACATCACGTTTTATGGAGATTTTGCTTCTTACTGCAAACTCTCCCCAAAGGGACTTCAGATTTTATCCAAAAAGTGCTACAAACTAATATTTCTTACATTCCTAAACTGTGAAGTGTAGACTGGGTGAAGATTGTATCTCAGTTTTATAAATTGAGAGGGATTTAAAGACCTGGGTTAACACTTACAGGTTATTACATTTTCTTGTGAATATAATGTTTCATGTATTGTTTTGATGATCCACATCAACATTTTACTATGTTTACATTTTCAAAATAATGGTAATTTAAATTAAGAATAAAACATTTAAAATGATTATTTTACAAATATTGAAGAGCAAAAATTCTTAAAATACTTCTTCAATTCATCTCAGTTTATCTGTCACCTACTTTTTCTTATACTTCATTTATATTCATTTGTAGCATCAGATGTTAAACTGCCTTTGATGTTCATCATCTTAATTTCCATAACTGGTTGCACAACTTGATGAGAAATATGAAGTGGATTTTGCTTCTTCAAGAAAAGACATCAAACTAACATAATCTGTTAGCTCTGACAGCTCAAATTAATCAACTGTTTCTTTTCTCCTTTTACTGGCAGGAGGACGGGAGGGGGAGAGAGAAATTGAGAGGGAGAGAGACTCTGCATTAGCGTCAATCAGTGCTCAGAGAGAAGGGAAAATCTGTTCCTCTAGGTCTGAATAATCAAGTGCATATGTTTTTAATTAGCAACATCTTTGCACTCTGTGCCTCATTTAAATGATTTTCTTTTATCTGGTGCGTTAATTTTCTGTGATTATTCATATCCCTACATGCCCAGAGAAAATAATTTAAACAATTAATTAAATTAACTCTGGATAGAATTAAACACAGCAGAGAAAAATCTCTTTCCTGACAGGCAGTGATGGTGGCAAAAGAATGCAGCCCTCAAAGAGATCCGTTTTCCTCCTCTAACACAATCTGAGTGTTTTCTGAAAGTTATTTGTACAGATGACATGCACTTCTTCTGGCAGATACAGGAAGCACGTGCTTGTCTGATTCCTCGGAGGAAAAGATCTTCATTTACCAGGGTCCTGAGCAATCTGTTTTTGTTCACAAGAACGGGAAAACAAAACGTTTCCTTCAAACTTAGCCTGCAGAAACGGAGAGTCTGCAGACATGGGCATCTCCGTGAGGTCAGATGGCTTCACCAGATGAGGTTTTACAGGCTCACACACACTGCTTTGACGTTGCCCCTCTTGCTCGAAGGAGCTGTAGGAGAAACTTGACAGCTGGCTCCCCGGGGCGGCGAACATTTCTGTGAGCGCAGCTCCACACAGCGTCCGCGGCCCGCACTGATCCCACCCTGACCCTGACCCGGGCTTCTCGCACCCAGCGCCCGGGGGGAGCACGCAGCGGCCACCGCAGCCAACTGAAGACTTGGCCGCCGCCACCGCTGCTTCAGGAAATGAGTCCAAGTCCTGCCAAAACACCGACTTTTTCTGTGAGTAAATAAGCCGCCTGTTGGGTTTTCTTTCTGTAGTGATTCCCAGCTCCACGGCGTCGCTCCTCGGAGGAGGACCCTGGACCTCGGCTGGCTGCGACCGCCTCCTGGAGAGCGCCAGAGCGCGCCGCCCCTCCGCCCCCGCCGGCCGGCCGAGCACCAGCCCCCCGAGGACGCTTCCAGACCAGCCCGGCAGGCTCCGCTGCCCGATGGAGGCGTGGGAGGACAGCACGGCGGCCTCTACCACGTCCACCTTACCGCCACGGCCGGAGGGAAGAGAGAGGAGAATTTGTTTGGAGAGGGGGGCCCGGAGCAGACGCTGGCCGCACCCCACTACCCCCGAGGCCCCCGGGTCGCCAGTCCTCAACCCCATCCCGCCCCCTCATCCGTCCTCCTTGAATGAATTTCCTCTCGGGTCTGTGGACAATCTCCTGGTGCAGAAACGTGCACCGCACAAGTTCGGTGCTGAAGAGGTTGGCAGGGTCAGGGGATCCCCCCTCCTTCGCACTTCTTCCATTTGTCCTACACTTAGATCCGAGGCTCCTCGTGGACGTGATTTCAAACGATTTTCCAACAGTTTCAGTACCGAATAGTTCAGTGCCCATCTCACCCTACTCGCGTCTGCACCCGCTGCCACGTGTGCGCAGGGAGCCCTCTGCGGCCGCCTTCAGGACCACCTCCCCCGCCCCCCAAGCCGCCTGTATGCTCAGTACCAAGCCGCTGCCCATGGCTGGGACGTGGGCTAACCTGTGGGTCTGTAGGGAACCGGAGGAAGAGCCCGAGTCCGAGTGGGAAGCCCAAGTGCAGCGAGCGGCTGGGGGGAGGGGAGGGGGCGGTGAGAGGAGCAGAAAAGTCCAGCCAGGGTCTGGGAAGGGTCCAGCCCTCCCGCTGACGGCATGCATTTCTTTTCCCTACCCTCTGTGCCTAAGCGCTTCCCGCCCCTGCAGGAGCCTGGGCAGTGGGCGCTGGCGCGCTGGGCCCTGGGAATGCAGCCTGCGATGCCCTCCGCGCAGTGGCCGAGTCCAGCACTCACTGACGCTCTCGCGAACTGGGTCCGCAGGCTCCTCTTAGCTGCTCTGAGATACTGAGCCAGTCCGGCAGCATGTTTTAGGGTAGCAAAGCCCATAAGCCTCCCCTTTTTCTTTTCATTCTTTCGTTCTCTTCTTAGGTTCTAACAATAACCTGCCGTTTCTGTTTGTAGGATTTAAGTATTTTCACTGTGTTTAATCTAGGATTTTCAAATAAGGGGTCTCAGAATTCAAATGCGGTTTCTCTAATTGATAAGCAGGATTTCAGAGACTTTCAAAATAGCCTTTTTTCATCTTATGTAATTAAAGACCCAGGAGCTTTCCGAAGAAGCTCTGGATGTTCCACGATGCACAATCTCTCTCTCTCTCTCTCTCTCTCTCTCTCTCTCTCTCTCTC